CCTCATACTTAGCATCTGTCAACGCTAGTGGTGGTGATCTCGGCGGTCCGAGCTGGGCATGACTCATGAGTCATCTTAGAGCACCAATAGGGGTCCTCCACGTGTCCAGGGTATTCTCTTCCCCAAACATAATCTATTTGTTATCTATGTTATACTATGGAATGTCATTGCTCATGGATGATGTTTCATGGGATAGTTGTCTCGAGAATATTATATCAATCTCATATATTTTCTCTCGTTTTATGTTAAAAAATGTGAGACACCATTGGGTGAGAAGCCAGAACTTGTTAGACCTCACGTTCGCAACATGATTATAGTACATGAAATGATTGGAAGTATAATTGGCGTTTACAATGTGAAGACCTTCCATCAAGTTAAAATCAAGCCTGAGATAATTTGTCATTACCTAGCTGAGTTTTATGTCCCGTATAAGCTTGTCAAGCATGATAGATATGGTATTGGTGCTATTCACTCATTAAGGTTCATTCTTAAGTAAAAACAGAATAGCATTTGTCAGACTTGGAGTATACTGTATTATTTGTTATTTTTGTTCAGCTCGTGGAAGATATTGTATTGATATACTTCATAATAGTGAGGTATATCAGTATTAAACGAGACATTTATTAGAGCTGTATCAATAGTATCTCAGTGATATATCAAGTATACATCATACATATATCAAAGTTATATCAGTAGTTAAACACTATGATATCAACAAATTGGCAAACATTCTTTGTTAGTTGATATCATATTTATTACAGTAGATATCATAGTTATATCAGTAATATATCAGAAGTATATCAAGTATACATCAGACATATCAGAGTAGTAAATCAATGGTAAATCACTATGATGTTAACAAATTGTCAACAAATTAGCAGACATAGGATTAAATTCAAACTACTTTACATATAAAAAAAACTCATTGTCATATCATTGAAAAAATTAGTGGATATATTAGTAATATATCAAAACACACATAAGAGGTAATATATTTGAATCATTGGTAGAACAGTGATATATCAATGATAAATCAATAGTAAATCAATAGTATATCATATGATTATATATCAACATACAAATATCATAGTTATATGTATATCAGTGGTAAATCAGAGGTATATCAAGTATATATCAGACATATATCAGTGCGATATTGTTGGTACGGTTTAGTACCCTTTGTGCAAGTGTGCACAACCGTGATAAAATGATCATATCCACAGGGATTAATAACTAAACACTTAAAAAATTACTTAAGAAAATAATCAAATTAACAAAATATGTTTTGAACAAGAAAAACCAAAGGAACCCAAACAAAATAGTGCATAGATGATTTGCTGAGTAAAAACAGGTAAGAACCAAGTAGAATCAAACCGATTAAAGGAGTGTGCAAATAAGAGATTAAATACTGATGTTTAAAAGGGTGAGGGGGAAGAGTTTAAATGACTTTTTATGGGCTCACGTAAACAATGCTGCAACATTAACGATGTAATATACTAGCTAAACAGACATGGAATCTTACTAGATTTCTCATATTTTCTACTATTCATGTTTTTAGACAAACTTGACAGCATATATACTCAGTTTAAAATCTTACTAGTTGAGCCTTATTCCTAAGTACCCACACTCTAACTAAAGTAGAATCTAGCACGAGTTGAAGCCAAACACTTCCTATTGCAATTATCCAAGAGTTAATAAGAAGATATTCCAATATGTTGGCCAAGCACACTAAAAATAAAACATTAAGAACAACTTCAACTCAGTATATACATATCATCATCAAGTCAAAGCAAAGTTTACAGCCCAAGAACAAGTTCACAACATCTTGCCCCTTACAAATAAACTTAGCTACGCAATGTCATACAAGAAAAAGGAAGAAGAAAATACAAAACCCATGTACTAAAGAGTACAAAAGAAGA